ACCTCCTGGTGGCAAATATCATTATCTTAAACGTAGCAAGAAGAGTTGGTAAAATTAAATAGAACCTTGAGTATTCCTTAAATTACAGTGATTCCCAACCCCCCAGATCACAAAACAAATCACGGACGCGTAGGAGTTCTGAAAGGCCACCAAGGTTTTCGAAGATCTATTTGAAAGCGTGGCGAAACTTATCAAAAGAAACAAACGGGATCATAAGAGTCGGAAAAACTACTTTTTAGGGCAGAGGCATAACAGGGTTTGTAACCACTTCCTCAAAACTTGCTCGGACAATTTATCCTTGTTTGATGCTCGATAATCAAATTTCCTTCCTGAGTGTGAATTCTTCGTTACGTATCCTATATTAATATCATTTCTTCTGGTCAATTTAACTTCATTCAAGTGCCAAAGTTTTCTATGATTAGTATGCTGAGCTTCTGTCTGGAAATCCTTCTTTGCATTGTTTCTGTTGAGAACTATTTTAAATGCAGGTACATCACAAGGGAGCTACATTCAACAATATATATATATATATATATATATATATATATATATATATATATATATATATATATATATATATATATATATATATATATATATATATATATATATATATATATATATGCAGAAGGAACATTTACTAATATTTTATAAGCTGTGAATTACAGGCGAATAATACCATTGTATTCTTTGACGGAATTTACCATAAATTCCAGATGACTGTCAGACATATTAATCTACATTTATTGCACAACAACTCTGGCTGCATGCCATATCGATACTGATAAAGTTGTTTAAAGATTCCAAGCGGCGCCAAGATGTATTAAAAAGTTCATTATCTAATGTGAGAATTACTCAGGCATTTCTAAAACATTAGTGTATTACTTACGGTTGATCAATTTCTGTTTGTAAAGAACGCATATCAGTTATCCTTGATATGGATAATGAAAGGGTCAATATACAGGGAAATCAGTTGGGTTTTTTCGTCGTTCACGCAATGGCGTGGTTTTCGACGTGATCTGTATCGGAATTTGCAGCAGTAGAGTACTTTAGTTTGTATCACTACTAGCAATACCAGCAGCAGCAGAGATTGTAGAATTTGGAGTAGCAATGCGAGTAGTTGTCCTTTAAGTATAGATATAATGGATGGAAAATGCATTTGCTAATATCCCATATAACCATGTGTCTATTAAATAGTGTCGTCCGATATGATCAAGTTCCCTGTAGTAGTAGCTGTATATGTTGTTGAGATCATAGTGTTGGTGCAGATTGTGTTGTTGGTCTTAATCCAATAGCAGATGGAATTGCACATTCAAGTTCGAGTGCTGGTTTAGACTGGCATTTCAGAATCAGTGTGTATTCAACCTTGAAGACATATCACTTGATAAGCCAAATATTAAAATCTTATTTTAACAAAAGTAATGTAATTGCAAAGCGGGATAAAAAAAAAAGATAAACATTTGCCTATGTGGTTGTGTTATTTACTGAGATTTTGTATGATATACAATGACACGAAATATCATCTTTTTACGTTTTCAGGGTATTTTTAGCTAAACTTGACTTGGATGAGTACGTTCAGCACTGTCAAGTACTAAATATGTGGTTGATGTAACACTAAAAATAACAACGCAGAAACAAATGCGCTGTGAAACCAGTCCAAACGATTCCTTTCTACAGGGCACAAGATTTCAAGGAATGATTGCACGACAGAGACAAAACACAACAGAGTAATTATGTGAACAAAAAGGCCATTTAAATTCGTTTTGACTACTTGTACCATTTATGTAAATATTTGCAGCCAAACATATCATAGATTCTACAGATAGATAGCTTTCTTTAATTGTGGGGCGAGTGAGGTAGACCTATCTCATTTAGGAGAATCATGCAGTGGGGTGGCTCGTTTCATACCAGTTAAGCATTGATATTTTAATGTTTTGTTTTTTTTCATATACAAGATTTTATTTGTCATATACAAGATTTGTAATGAACAACACAATTGGCATAATATAGCCCATTTTGAAAATATTATTCTGCCGTTGTGTGTGCATATATATATATATATATATATATATATATATATATATATATATATATATATATATGTGTGTGTGTGTGTGTGTGTGTGTGTGTGTGTGTGTGTGTGTGTGTGTGTGTGTAAAGTTTTATAGCAATCCTACAATTAGTTTAGTAGAAGTAGTAATAACAAAATGTGCTAACAGAAAGAAGGATGATGGATGATGAGAGTAAGCTAATAAATGATTTTCTATAACATACAAATTGTATTTTAATTATCTGACCTTATTGGGCAATACATAAATTATTTTGTTATAACTCCCTGACCACTTCATTTTCAAAAGGAAGCTAATGTAATCCGTGCTGGAAAGTCAGTGCCATTCTAATTGGTTCATATTGTTTTAGATAATGGTCGGAGCTGATTCTTGTCATATCTCAAGAAACATTTAGGAATATGATTTCACCATCTAGTACATCTACAAATATAAGAACAGAAATTCCAAACCATGTGAGGAATGTTGCCATTGTTCATCTATTTAGTTGGTATTGACAAGAAATGTAAATAGCAGCTGTCAAAATGAATTGGTGATTCACAGTCATTTACTCTTAAATTTATTTTTTGTGAGAATCTGCAGATTTGTAAACAACTAAACTCACACCATGCAATTTGTAGATTATAAAATATTTGTAATATGTGTCTGAAGCAATTTTCTTTTCATTCTTAATGTGGAAAAATTTTATGTTACATCGGCATCACAAATTAAAATTGAACCAGACATAGTTATAATAACAAAATAATTTGTTTTTAAGTTAAGTGGCTTGTTTAAAGCTGTATAAAAGGTTAACAATTCTTTCTAGAGTGATACAAGTTAAATATGTTTAAACTTTTAAACCTTATATTCATTTACAACATTTTGTTTTATATATGTCTCTATGTCCAAAATTAATTACCATGAAAAGAGATAAAATGAATAAATACATTCTAACCCTGAGTCCCTTGAAGGAACTGACACTCTACTGGGAAAAAACAATTTTCAGGAATTCAAGAAATGACCATTTCTTTCATTCTAACTGATAATTGTTTAAAGCATGTCTGATATTCATAAGCAATAAAAGGATTTTTAAATTAGCGATCACAGTACACATATTAGATGTCAGCTTAGTACCATTTCATTTAGCACAAAGTGGATATCATTAGAATTATTTTGGTACAACCTCATGCTATGGATGTCTTTTTAAAGATTTTTAAGACAGTAATTAAGGCAGCCATATTAAATGTAAGACTGGCACTAATTTTATTCAGGATCTACTAGGAAGCATGATAAGTGTACAGCCAAAACACCCATGTTGATTTAGCAATCCATTTGGAAAGGAGTAGAGATATTTTCATATGACTTTCCACTGAGAAGGAAGAATACAAAGATTTTAAAGATGGCTACTATGGCAACCATGCTGGACATCAGATAAACACTATTTATATTGAAGACTAACTGGACATCATAAGATGTCTTCTGTTGAAAACCCCACATAAATATGACTTTCTGTTCAAGTAGGGTTGTGATAAAAAGATTTATAAGACTGCTGCCTTGGGCACCATCTTTATTTTTAGAAACAACTAGACATCATGAAGAGTCTTGTATTAAAAGTTAATATTGATATGATGATCCACTCAAGAAAAGTAGAAACAAAAAGATTTTAAAGTTTGCTGCTGTTGTGGCCATATTGGACATCAGATAGGCACCGTCTTATTTAGACCAACTTTTTAAGACATCATGAGAAGTTTTTAAGGGAAAACCCAATGATGGTATGACCATCCATTTAAGCAGATTAGTGATACTGAGATTTTCAAGATGGTCACTGTGGTGATCGTACTAGATGCTTCTGCAGCACCATCTTTTTTAGGGCCAATTAGACCATGAGATGAATGTGTGTGTAAAGTTTAAAGGCAAGCCTCCAATAGCCAAGAACAAGTTCAGCTGTTCTTTCTTTTGCACATGGCTTTATATATTTTTTTCTGCATCAATTTTGGATATGGTGAAGTTTAAGAATTCATTTAATTTAAATACTGAATCTGAATCTGTTCCAAAGATATTTAACCACTGAATGATACATTTTGTTAAACAAGGAAGTTCGACCATGAATATTGTCATATTTTACCCTTCATTTGACCTTACCTTAGCTGATATTTATTTTTCAAATAGAATGCATCCTTTAGGTCAGTGTTGATGGGATACATGGTATATTTTATCACTCAGGATTAAAGCGGACTGTAAGGAAAATAATTATATAGCCTGGTTCATACAGAAGAATGTATGTAGATATTTAAACTAGAGGATGCAAGGCTGGATACTTCAGGCAATAGATAGTTGCCATACATGATAATACAGTAATACCTACCTTATAAGACCACTGCTACAAAAGACCACCTGCCTCAAGAGACCAGGGTCTCCTTGCACAGATCTACTGGTTATATAGTGTTATGACCTGACATGGGAGACCACATGTCTTGAGAGACCATTTTTTGGCAAAAGAGGTCGTTCAAGACAGGTTCCACATTAAATTCCTGAATTTATCCATTTATCCTCACCATAACTGTTATAACTATGATTCAAACTGATGTGTAGATAAACTGTGGATATGAGAGAAGTGATAACTGAAACAATGGTCCTTTACCATAAATTTCTAAATGATGGTTCATAGACATAAGACTTAAAACCAGCTTTTTCAAATGAAACACATGAAACAATATAAACTTGTGTTTGAAATTAATAGCTACAACTGAGACTTTTCTATGACAATTCTTTGCTATCTACCACAGGTAAATATTTCCCATAACGGCCTAAGCAAACACTGAGTCCGATTTTGATCAGTTTGGCAGGGCCTCCTTACACCATTTGGAAATAAACTTTTAAACAAATTTTATATGATATTTGAACTTAAAATGTTCTTTCATCACTTTAAAATTACTTTCTCTCTATTATATAACCGCTCCGGTCGCCTAGTGGTTAAAGTGTCCGCCTCAGATGTGGGAGTTCATGGGTTCAATCCCCAGTTGAGTCATACCAAAGACCTACAAAAATAATACTAACAGCAGCCTCGCTTGGCTCTCAGCATCAAGAGGTTAGTGTTAGGTCTGGTCGGCCTGGTGTCAAGATAATGTGACTGGGTGGGACATCATGCTACATGTCTGCGACATGATGCCTCAGTGCTACACATCACTATAAACTGCCACATTGCAGACGTTGTAGCAATATGACTGAAAACATTTGTTAAAGCTACGTTAAAAATCTAAATCACACACACTATTATATATATTTTTAAACATAACTAATGTTTGGGACACCTGTGAGTGCTGTCCAAATCAGTCCAATCTAACTAAGGCCGGCCCTGAATATATAATGGATAATTTGCATCAATACTGTTAATTAAAGGACAAGGAAAATATTGAAAGGCATAGCATGGAGGTGGAGGGGGACATATAAAATTAACAAATTGGGGGGACAGATAGTGGACGAATCTACTCCTTCCCTTCTCTAACATTTCCTTCTCTGCAACACTGTTCAAACTTTATATGGGCTGTTATCAACACATGTTGACTGTATACTATTTATCTGTCAATTATCTGTTTTTGACTCTTCAGTCAACATGTACAATATTAAAAGAGTACATTGTGCAAGTTGCATATAACATTAATTTCTCTTTGTTGGCTCTTCATTTTGAGCATTGGCCCTTCCCTATTTCCAAATCTAAAACCACAATAAGTACTTTTAATGAAAATGTCAGTTTGAAAAATGGCATTTCACGAATTTTCTGTCAACTAATTAAAAATGTCTTTAGGCTTTAGTGAGTTATTGTATTTCTATTTTAACCTACACTGTACCTTTTAAGTTCAAATCAATAATGATTGGAACAGAAACAGAATGTTTAGCTTAATTTAGAATATACCACAACTGGGGTTATTTGTCCTGATGTAAATTTCAAATTAAATGAAGATGATCTAAATTTTGCAGTTTTGGTTAAAAAAAGAAAAAAATATATTTATAGGTGTTATCAGTTTATTTACTGACAGACTATAAAAATGTACAGAAATTTAAAAATGTGAAGTACACAGAAGTACACATTAGTGATTTGTTAATTCAATTATCCATTTCAGTTTGGGTACATGTATTCCTATTTATTTAACATGCTGCTCTCATACCAGTTTATTTTCCAAATTAATTGGGAAATTAGAATCTAGCTTACTTTTCAACTTCATTGTTTTTATTACTGAGTTTGAGCCTTTACAGTATAACTTAATTATCAATGTGAAAATTATTATTCAATCAAACCTTTCCATCTATAAGTGATAACAAGTTGACTGGTTTTATGATTATGTACATACATTATAACCAGTCCATATAAATGATGTTCAACTGTATGATAATTCTCAATGATAATGCAGCACTCCAAAGTATCAGCCAAATTACCCAGTAGTAGTAGTAATACATGTACTATAATCCCATTCCTTGTTGCTCCCTGCAAGAATTTCTGATTTGTTTATTACATTGGTCTGGTCCTCGGTCCATCCATCTTGTAAAACACATACATGTAAATGGAAATTGCCAGTCAATTTCATGTTTGGACAGCTTTTCTCAATATAATAAAGGAAGTGTCTTACTCCTGAAGGTGAGAAGTGACCTCTGTCCCCACCAAAGCAACTCGGTACAGATGCTATCTTTCTTGTAACATTGGTTGGCCATGTTGTTGACAAAAATGGAACCAAAGTCTTTGACAAGATTAGAGATGATGTCATTGTGTTCTGATGCATCATTCCAGAAGTGGGGCATACACAACTGACAGTTATTACACTTTTCACTGCAGGCATCATTGCCTCCAACAGAAATGATGAAAATTGATGAATTTTTCCAGGTTAAAAAGCTGCTTGAAACACTGACTGGAGTTCTGAGTTGATGTTCTAGGTTAAAGTGCTGCTTGAAACACTGACTGGAGGTCTCAGTTGATGCTCCAGGTTAAAGTGCTGCTTGAAACACTGACTGGAGATCTCAATTTATGCTCCAGGTTAAAGAGCTGCTTGAAACACTGACTGGAGATCTCAGCTGATGCTCCAGGTTAAAGAGCTGCTTGCGATACTAACTAAAATGTTAAATTGATGCTCCCAGATACAATGACAGTTGATGCCTTTTCTAAGTCTTTTCCTTGATGCCTTTCCTTTGATGCCTTTTTCCAGTTAAAAAATATATCTTGTCTACTATTTATAGGGGTGGTGCTGGGAATCTTGCTTGCTTTTTTTGCATGCTGCATGTTTCAAGTCAGTTTTTCAGGGAAGACTTTGTTACATTTTCTAGTTTGAGGCCCAGATATGGTGTGAATTATATTAGCAATGTATTGTGTGGGTGAGGGCTTACTTGATACCTTGGCATTTGTTCTTGGATGACACAAGTGACATCATTTACTTATAAGGTTTCTCTATAGCTGCTTCAGTAGAATTTTTTTCTACCTTTAATAACATCTGACATAGTTACTGATAATTCCAAGTATTAATGATTATTCCATGGATATGTACCTAATTATTAATGAGTATTCCATGGATATGTGCCTGAGTATCAAAAAGATTAATTCCATGGATATGTACCCATGTATTTAATAAGACTATTTAATTGATATGTACCCAAGTATTAATATGATTATTCCATTGTTATGTATCCAAGTATTAATGAGTATTTCATGGATATGTACCCATGTATCAGATTATTCCATGGATATCTGCCTGAGTATTAATAGGATTATCCCATGGATATGTAGCAAGTATTAGTATGATTAATTTATGGATATGTACCAATGTATTAATAAGATTTTTCATTGGATATGTACCCAAGTATTAATAAGATTGTTTCATTGATATGTACCCATGTATTAATTAGTATGCATGGATATATACCTGAGTATTAATAAGAGTTTTCCATTGATATGTAGCTAAGCATTATTAAGATTATTCCATGGATATGTATCCAAGAACTGATAAAGTATTACATGGTTATGTACCTGAGAAAAAGAAACAATTACACAGCTGAACACTATTAGGAAACATAAGAAAAGTGCTTCATTGATTTTGTTTATCATAAGCAGGTGTCCTTTAAACAAAAATGTTTGCAACTGCTGGTGTAACTGTACTGATGGAAGCCAAAGTGGCTTAGTAGTTAAAGTGTTGGACTGATGTAGCTTTAATCCACACCATAAAAAATCAGCCTTGATGGGCTATTGTAATGTATCCTTGGGCTGCACATTTAACTTGCCTCAGCATAACATAACCTTCAAAGTGCTGGTGTGCCATAAAAAGCAAAGTAAACCAAACCAAACGTCACTTCATCTAAATTGATGGATTTTTACACACATTTCAAGAGGGTAATTGTTGGATTGATAGACAAATATAGTGGATCATCTCATTATGCAAAAAATGCCAAAGCAAAATCTTTTAATTTATTGGAGAAATTGGGACCTGTTTGTAATCTGTGAAATTTGATAATAAAAGCAAAATTAAATTTAAAACAGGAAAAACTACATACATTATATTCATTATGACTCCAAAAGAGTCTCAGTATACCATATATATTCACTTATAAGTTATGTCCAACTGTACTTTACACAGACCCTGATCTGCAATCCCTAAATTCACCAACATATCAGGGTCTATGTTTTTTGTTCTACTGATTAACTCTGAAAACTACATAACCTCAGATCTGCTGCTATATTGGATGCATTGGCAGATTTGGGTCTGTGCAGTGTGCAGTTTGACAGATTTACAAACTAGTAAATACCATAATATAAAATGTTTTCAATGTAATTCAGAATATAAACATGTGACTTGTATCATTTACCATATATACTCACAAGTCAGATCTGCCTCTGCAGTTTGTAAGGAAGAGTCAATGGAACAAACATCATAGATCCTGATATGCAGGGACATGCATAGCCAATTATACACTATAAAACATCATCTTGCTTAATCCACCTACATGCCATTGTATATGTATCTATTCTTTCTTTTTCTCTCCTTTATTGGCTTCTCTCTCTCTCCCTCTCTCTCTCTCTCTCTCTCTCTCTCTCTCTCTCTCTCTCTCTCTCTCTCTCTCTCTCTCTCTCTCTCTCTCTCTCTCTCTCTCTCTCTCTCTCTCTCTCTCTCTCTCTCTCTCTCTCTCTCTCTCTCTCTCTCTCTCTCTATCTCTCTCTCTCTCTCTCTCTCTCTCTCTCTCTCTCTCTCTCTCTCTCTCTCTCTCTCTCTCTCTCTCTCTCTCTCTCTCTCTCTCTCTCTCTCTCTCTCTCTCTCTCTCTCTCTCTCTCTCTCTCTCTCTCTCTCTCTCTCTCTCTCTCTCTCTCTCTCTCTCTCTCTCTCTCTCTCTGTTAGATTGCTCTCCTAGTTCTAAGAGAGAAAAAATATAAGTCAGATCTTATAATTATTGCAACTACAATGTGGTACATACTGCAAAAAGTAATTGATTTTCTATAATACATAGTTAAATGGTGCTAATTAAAATTTCCACTGCATATGAACATTCATCAAGATAGATAGATAGATAGATAGATAGATAGATAGATAGATAGATAGATAGATAGATAGATAGATAGATAGATGGATGGATGGATGGATGGATGGATGGATGGATGGATGGATGGATGGATGGATGGATGGATGGATGGATGGATGGATGGATGGATAGATAGATAGATAGATAGAGAGAGAGATAGATAGATAGATAGATAGATAGATAGATAGATAGATAGATAGATAGATAGATAGATAGATAGATAGATAGATAGATAGATAGATAGAGAGAGAGAGAGATAGATAGATAGATAGATAGATAGATAGATAGATAGATAGATAGATAGATAGATAGATAGATAGATAGAGAGATAGATAGATAGATAGATAGATAGATAGATAGATAGATAGATAGATAGATAGATAGATAGATAGATAGATAGATAGATAGATAGATAGATAGATAGATAGATAGATAGATAGATAGAGAGAGAGATAGATAGAGAGATAGATAGATAGA